CTGCTAAGTCATAAGGCATTCTCCCATCCACTTCTCATCTTTGTGCTTTGTGCTTTCGGGTTTATCAAAGACAGAACTTGTATTTAGTTTCTTAATCTTCCCTGGAAGCGAAGCCTGAGTGCAGGCTGGCGAAGGAAAGCGCAGCTGTTCCTTTATTCTGGCATCTTGAAAGCAGGAAAGAGTGCCTTTCCTCTTCCCCAGTGCTTTACCGTGCTGCCTGCTCCGCTGCCACCTGTCGCCGCCACTCATCCCTTTTGTTCTCTGGAATCTTTATGGCAATAGGCATTGTTTTACTGGCTTTCCCCAGAAACCTTTAGTTTATTAATGAATGTTAATAACTTCCACATCTATATGCAGTGAGTGCCGCTAACTGGCATATCCAATGTGAAAGAACTAGAAATGTTTCAGTCACCCATCCCTGTGGGCCCTCACTAGTTATCCCGACCTCTGTCCCCAGCCCCTGTAGTACCACAGTAGGCTCTGGCCCGAGATGCGCCTCTGCAGACAGCTCCCCGGCTCATATCACCCCTTGTCATTTCCATCCATGTTACCCTGTTATTCTCCTATTGCTAGACATCAACAACGCTGCCCCCAAGCTGCTCCTAACACTGTGGCTTCTGACTTCACCAAGGAACTCTTCCTGGACCGTTCCCCGGGCCTGGAGCCTCTACAGATGCCTTTATCACTCTCGCCTCAGCCCGACTCTGCGCACCGTTTGTTTCTTATTAGGGTACTAACTAAAACACAAATAAAACGGAAGATTGGGAACTATCTCATGTCTACAGTCCACCGAATTCTTGTGCTTCTGATGTTGTAAGAGCCACATGTATAGTTGGCACTTAAAGACCCTGAGAAATTGTGTTTTTCCTTTCAATCAAGATTTGGTCTCATTTCAATAAGTGAACAAATCAATAACTAAACCCCTCTTTATAATTATGCTTCTCTAGAAAATATCAACATAAATATGGTCAGGAAGCTTAGACTATCGGGTAGAGTTGGGGCACACACATTTTTCCCTCTGTGCTCAAAGCACTGGACTCAGTAAGTACTGAATATATATATATATATATATATATATATATATATATATATATAATTTTTAATTGGGGAACTAAAGACAGCCGAATTTAATTCTAAAAGCTCAAGTGTTTCTTTTTCTTTTATCTTTTTTTCCCCTTAGACATTTATATTAAGGGTGAGAAAAAATACAAAAAAAAAAAAAAGAAGCTTCATCCTCCCATTAAAAAAAAAAAAAGTGATGTTCTTGACTTCAGCCCTCCCTCTCTGTGTGCACTGACAGACTTTTATATCTAATGAACTTTCCCCTTCTACTACTGCCCACAAAACCTGCAGTCCCCTCCTGGTGTATGGCATGGAGTCTCCCTCAGACCCTACTTTCTTGGCCTCCTGGCAGCAGCTCACAAGCCACCACTCACTTGACAAAGGGCTGTCTCCCTTGTCTTTGCTGCTCCTCCTTTCTGGTTTCCCTCCTCTCGGACTACTCTCCAGCCTCCTCAATAGAAGCCGCTGGGCCCTTGCCTCACTCTTGTTCCCCAGCACGGCGTCTCAGCCCACTCTACCTACCAGGCCTGGCTTCCCCCACTCCGGAGGCCTCAAAGGGCAATGAAAGATGGACAACGTAGTCCAGGCCACTATGCCAGTCAGAGGCTGGGGAGTCTGGGAACAGCCTAGGAAGGACACCCTGTCTCAAAAGCTAGAGTTAGTTGTAAAACAGATGATCCTGAAAGGAACCTGACCACCAGAGGTGTTGTTCACAGCTGAGAAGCTCTATGTGTCTATGTCACAGTGCCATCTAGATCCCTACTCCAGGGCACCACACACAGCCAGAAACTAGGAAAACAAACCTTTGACTCTGGTGTTCTCTATCCTCACAACCAACCAATGCCCACACTTACTGGTTCTGTCCAAGATGGACCTTAAACTGAATATCCAATTCCTTCCATTCTCACCCCGACTCCTGCACACTAAATCACCTCTTTATTGCTAATATTGTTACTTTCAATCTATAGCATACCCATTGTGATCTTTCTCAGATACGGATAAAATCATGTTATCCTCTTCTTAAAATTAAAGCCAGCAATTGTTCCCTACTACTCTCTACATGACATTCAAATTACTCAACTTCTCAGCATCTGGTCTCTAATATGATCCAGTTACTATAGGCTCCAGTCATCATGAATATCTTTTAGTTTCTCCAACAATCCAAAATAATTTTACTCCCACTGTGTCCCTTTCATCTGCTAACACAATTATCTGATGTAGTTCCATCATCATATTCCCTGTCCTCCTTTCTTCAAAACATTCAGGCTGGGTGTGGTGGCACATGCCTTTAATCCCAGAACTTGGGAAGCAAAGTCAGGTGGATCTCTGTGAGTTCAAGGCCAGCCTGATCTACTTAGCGAGTTCCAGGAAAGCCAGGGCTACACAGAGAGAGACCCTATCTAAAAACAAAACAAAACACAATAGAATTTACATCACCCATTGGTCTATAGTCTGGGAAGTCCAAAATTAAGGAGCTCCACTTTGTGAAGGTACTGTTAGTATTTCTAGACTAACATCTGTAAGTCTTTAAGTCCTTGGTATCTCAGTTTACATGTGCTCTCTGAATCTCAGACCTGCAACTCCATCACGCTTCTTAACCACATCACATTCTCTTATAGCTGCTCTTTATCTGCATCTTTTAAAATCACCAACATAGTGAAGTCAACCCCATTTATTTATTTCAGCCATGCCATAGCATTTCCAGCACAAAGGTGTCATTCAACAATAAGGGTTAGATGCTGTGATTTAGATAGGAAATGCCCCCGCAAATACTTGTGTTGAAGGCTTTGGTCCCCAGCTGGTGTGTCACTGTAGAGAGTGATTGGATCATGGGGGTATTGACCAGATCAAAAACTAATGCATTAATTAGATTGATTAGTTCAAAGCTGAATGAGCTATTAGGGGCTGGTGCCTTATAGAGGAAGTGAGTCCCTGGGAGCATGAAATTGAAGACTATATCTTATCACCAACTTTCCTCCCTCCCTCCTCCCCTCCCTTCTTTCCCCCTCCCTGTCTACCATGAACAGCTTTACTTTATCCAGCCCTTGTACCCCATATTCTGCCATGCACAGACCTACAACAATGTAGACAGCGAACTGTAAACTGAAATCACAGAAACTGAGCTAAATGAGTCTTTTCTCTCTTAAACTGTTCATCTTGGGTATTTTATTACAACAACAAGCAGACTAAAATAAATGATTGCTAAGCTAGCTATCAGATTAAAGCTTGTGCCAGAGAAGGCATAGGTCACATACAAATTTTTCTTTCCCAAATAGTACTGCAGTGAGCAAGCTAATTTTCCCATGAAACAAGCATGTTTATAACAAGGGAATTCTAAATCTTTGTTTTCTTTTTTTATTTCTCCATTTCCGATATATAAAATTTTCACTATAAAAATTGAAACACACTTTTTACAAACTAAGAATATTGCTAGCTTTCTCTTTCTCTGCCTACTACCTAGTCTGTTCCCAAACAATCTGTGAGCTTTGGTTTACATGTATGGGTTTAAAACAGTGGTTCTTGGGGCTGGAGAGATGGCTCAGCAGTTAAGAGCACTGACTGTTCTTCCAAAGGTCCTGAGTTCAATTCCCAGCAACCACATGGTGGCTCACAACCATCTGTAATGAGGTCTGGTGCCCTCTTCTGGCCTTCAGGCATACACGCAGAAAGAATACTGTATATATAATAAATAAATAAATAAGATAAGTTTAAAAAAAATTCAGCATGAACAAAAGCAACACACCTTTAAAAAAAACAGTGGTTCTCAAACTGTGGATCAGGACCTCTTTGGGGTCACATATCAGATACCCTGCATATCAGATATTTACATTACAACTTATAGCAGTAGCAAAATTCAGCTAAGAAGTACCAACAGAAATAATGTTATGGTAGGGTCACCACAAGACGAACTGTATTAAAGGGTCACAGCATTAGGAAGATTGGGAACCACTGGGGGAACAAAAAAACCTGCAATAACCTTTCCCTAAAGCACAACACCCAAGTTCTAATTAAATCTTAGCACACCTGCTCTGAACTGCAAAACCAGAGATATATACAAACTTGTAATGGTGTTCTGACCTCAAGTAGGATTCAAGTTTCCTTAAGGTATGCTTCCTCTTTGAAGGAATAATTTTGGAATTTATTTCAGTGACTAACCTACTGGTATTGGGTATTAACAGACATGAATTTGGTTGCTTTCTTGCCTATTCCTGATGTAGGTAGGTCTTCTATCTATCTGTTGCTTTCATTGGTTAATTAATAAAGAAAACTGCTTGGCCTGATAGGTCAGAACATAGGTGGGTGGAGTAGATAGAACAGAATGCTGGGAAGACGGTGGTTAGAATCTTCCCAATAAGCTACCAGTTTGTGATGATACACAGATAATTAGATATGGGTTGATCAAGATGTGAGAGTTAGCCAATAAAAGGCTAAAGTTAATGGGCCAGGCAGTGTTTTAATGAGTACAATTTGTGTGTTGTTATTTCAGGTGTAAAGCTAGCCATGCAGGAGCCAGGCAGAACAAACAGCTCCTTTTACATATTCCCTGTGCTTTCTGTCCACTGCCTATCAATACTTAAGGTTTTAGATGGGGTGGGGGAACAGCTCCAACCTCAAGGCCTAAATTGTCTTGCTCTTAATGTATCTTGTCAACAATCAGGAGACTTTTTTAAAGTGACACTTCTACTCAAGCTCCGCATTTAATCCAAGGGCAACTCACTACAGTCGCACAGCCCTGCTGACTGGATGTCTGGAGACTATCAGCACCCCTCCAGTGACCAACCTTAGACCAAACATGTTACATTACAACACTTGCCCACAGATGCTGGCTTTTCCTTTCCAGTTAAGACAGGTTGTCAGCATCAAGGAAGATGTTCTTCCTGACTTTCCAATGAAGATGCTGTCTAGAAGGTTTTCTGGTTAATGTCACAGGTACTGACCTTGGATAGACTCATTCCCAGCACTGTGAGAGTCACTAGCCCAGCACAGCAGACCAGAGCACTGGAGCTGGAGAGGCCCGAACCTGGGGGAATGTTTCCATCTACCAGACAGTTCATCCCCGTCAGTTTACTAAGACCAAAGTGTTCCTAGGAAAGAAAGAGCAACACGGAAATAGTCATTTCGGGGTTGGATTCAAGAGGCAGTAGAAACTTCTATTCTTCCACAAAGGGAAGAAAGTCTACCAACAGATGCTAAGCTGTTGTAGAAACTGGTATGATTCAACACAGTGGAAGCTACCCATGCCATCTGATTTAATGGCCCTTGCCCACAATGTGAGGCAATCTGACAGTGACTTTTCGTTTTGTTCAACGAAAAGTTACTGATTTTCTTCCTAAATTGCCTTTAATGGTTTTTCTTTGAATATTAACTGATTTGAACAAGTATAGTAAACCTAAAAGGCAACCAGAATTCAAATTGCCCAGCAAGGCAAGAATTCCCCTCTACCAGTGAGCGGGCTGAGCTTCAGCCCGCCAGCATCTGGTATAAAGTTTAACCCAACAGCAGCTGTTTCCAGGGTGTTTGGCCTCAGGAGGCCCTGTGAAGAAGCGAAGCTCATAGCTCTATCAACTCCATTTTTTATAGAGAAAAACGTAAGCACTGGGGGATTAAGAGATCATCCAGGAGATCACACGAAGGACCCTGGGAGACTCAAGACTCTAAGACTTTCCCAAAATCACACAAAGGATGCTGGGATTGGGACCCAAGACTGAGTCCCAGTTAGGACTTCTCCACCCATGTGGAAGATGAGGTCTCTACCATTAAATGTCTGTCAGTTATATGAAGAAATTCAGAGTTTTTATAGGAGTTATTGATAGAATTTAGTCATCTGGTAGCTTTAAAGGCAGTCAGATTAAAATTTAGTGTAAATGATACTGAAGGTCCCAGAGGAGGAAGAGAAATTTTCTACCAACAGTGAAGGCCAATTAAACCAGACTCTGGAATAAAGGTAGAAATCTCTAATGTGCTTGAACTGATGTGTAAAATCGGATTTGGGGTGATATCATATTATAATCTTTGTTTAGAATTGAAAATAAATGCAGCACTTCAGTGAAAACGTAGTCTTCCTCAGAAACTTCTCAAATAACTCAAGACCAAAGTATGAGGGAGAAACTACTACATTACCTAATTATGCATTTCATCATACATATTCTTCTAGGGAGAAATTTCAATAAGCAAGTTAGACTAGTCAAAGGAACAACAAAACGCTGTGAATAAAGACTGTTTTTGTCCTTAATTTTTTGTCCTTTTTTCTTCCTTGGCAAAAGTCATGCGCCACAAAAGACAAGAGTCAGATGTGCTTCCTGACTCCAAGTCATCTTAAACTCTCCTTCCAGAAACACAAACAAATTATACACTGAAGACATGCTGCTTCCAACGCCCCTGCACACAGAACGCCAGGCAGCCCGTGCAGAAGCTGCAGTCCTGGGGAGTGCTGTACTGAAGACATGCTGCTGCCAACGCCCCTGCACACAGAACGCCAGGCAGCCCATGCAGAAGCTGCAGTCCTGGGGAGTGCTGTACTGAAGACATGCTACTGCCAACGCCCCTGCACACAGAATGCCAGGCAGCCCGCGCAGAAGCGGCAGTCCTGGGGAGTGCTATACATTTAACCATAAATGATCCACAGAGCGTCTTGAATGTGAATCATACTAGCAGACTTAGTACACAGTGTTTAAGTTCAAAAGTCATAGCACGCTGGAAAACACAAATGGGCTGTGCCAAATACTGACTAGCTCTATCCCAGAAGGATAACATGTTCAATTTCACATAAACAGATCATCCCTTGGATCTTTCTAGTATTTTAATTTGAAGTTTCTGGACTGGTTAACACTGAAATGACTTTTTTTCTCCAAAAGTTCATTGTCCAAACCTGTGTTTTTGCACATAAGTTGTCAAATCAAAGAGAAAGGTTTAAAGCCCTTAAAAGGATGCAAAACAATACAAGAAGATAGATGATAGATAGATAGATAGATAGATAGATAGATAGATGATAGATAGTTGATAGATGATAGATAAGATAGATAGCTAGCAGATAGATAGATAGTAGATAGATAGATAGTAGATAGATAGATAGATAGATAGATAGATAGATAGATAGATAGATAATTTTCCCGTACGGTACAAAAAGGCATGTTTTTTTAAGGAAGGTCAAATTGCATTTGCCTGACCAGTGCTTCCAAATCCTCTAATTTCCACTAATGTGGATGACAATCCAGATGATTTGAAGATTTAAAACAGGCCAATAACTTTTCCCAGAAGTTATTACCATGTGTCTGGAAAAAAGACACATTCTCAAGAAATGAACACTGTACTCCCAGGCCAGACCTCCATGACAGCAGGACTACACGTCCCAAGTCACTCTGCTGGGCTTCTGGGACAGCCATGTCACTGAGCCCTAAGCTTCTTGGGACAGTTTCAGATAGGACCTCCAGGCCACTTGGATCTTAAGCTCTCAAAAAATAAATAAGTAAACAAAACAGAAAAGCATATTTGCTCATTTCCTTTTGATTCACAAAGACAAAAGGTCTATTTCTTAATATCCTTTATCTGTGATATTACCAGAGTCACTACATCTAAAATAATTATTGAGTGGGTGTCGATTTTTAAATTAAAGTTAAGGAGTTGACTCAGTGGCTAAAACCATCTGTGGCTCTTACAAACGAAGACCTGGGTTCAATCCCAGGCACCACATGGCAGCTCACAACAGTCTGTAACAGATCTGACACACTCTTCTGCATTCTGTGGGCACCAGGAATGCATGTGGTGCAGAGACATACATGCAGGCAAAACACCCACACACATAAAATAAAAACAAATAAATCACCAGGCGGTGGCGGCACACACCTTTAATCCCAGCACTTGGGAGGCAGAGGCAGGCAGATCTCCATGAGTTTGAGACCAACCTGGTCTACAAAGTGAGTTCCAGGACAGCCAGCCAGGGCTGTTACACAGAGAAACCTGTCTCAAGAAATTTAAAAAAATAAAATAAAATAAAAAAGATCTTTTTATCTTTTTTTAATTATAAAAAAATTAATACAAAAGAAACATAAGAGTGTTTCTGAAAACAGGAAGTATTAGTTTTCCGTTTGTGCTTCACACAATCTAAACTACGAGAAAAAGTCCTGTCTCGCACACAGCACTAGGCTTTTAAGCGGAGATCGCGTCGATGTTTCTAGGAAGCTACTCACAGTGATGCCTCTCACTAAATCCCTTTCCCTCTCACCTGGACAAGAAGAAACAAGGCTAGCTGCCATTCTCGAATACCTAAGGGTTCCAGTATCATGGCGTCCTCGCGACAGCTCTTCATTGAAGAGCAGTGACATCATTTTACAGATAAAGCCAAGACAATGCAAATTAACAAAGCCAAACCAAGCCCACATTCAAATGTACGGCTGCTCTATGTCCCATTCCAGTACACTCCTGCATCTCCCACGAACAGAACATAAATACCAGGACAGCCTCCCCTGCGTCTCCCACGAACAGAACATAAATACCAGGACAGCCTCTCCCTTGTGGCATATTTAATGATGCCAGTCAGATAAAAATCATGACTGCCCCGATACACACTACTCGGAAACAGTCATGCCTTCCCCACCCTCAGAAACAGAAGCTAGCCAAATGCAAGAAGAGCTTCAGTACTGAAAAGAGACCACGGCATGATGAGTAAATCTAGAATAACATGAATATCATCTCAAAGACTAGTCGGAGTCAATTTACCTGGATTCCTTTAAATCCACATAGGAAGTAGTTGTGCCATACCGGTTTGGTTTTGTCAATATGGATGTTATTAGCACTAGTACTGAAGTCTCTGGGGGAAAAAACAAAAGCAAGCCCCATTAATTTAAGTCTGTATGGCTAGAGAGACAAAAAAAAAAAAATCAATGGCTGACTGCTACCCTCTTGTGACAAAATAGTGGTACTGCGTATTCTTTTCTATTTACCTTCAATACATCTCACAGCCCCCTGCAAACAGCGAACACCTCCAGCTGCTGAAGGCTGAGAGCCCCAATGGCTAATCTACCTCTAATTGATCCTTTTAATTTCCAAAATCTGATAGGAAAGAACATGCTGTAGCGTAATCTACATCCACTCTCTCATTAGCTAGTGTAAACTGCACGACCCTCTGGGCCTGCTACTCAGCAGATGCCCCATTGACACAGAAGTACAATTCTACACTGATATAAGTTTATAATTAAATAAACAGCTAATTGAAGAAAAGGGGAAATTAGTTTTCATAATTCAATACCAGGACCAACAGGATGGCTCAGCGGATAGGTAGTTGTCATATAATCCTGTCAGGCCCAGTGGGAAGGCTCAGTGGATAGGTAGTTGTCATATAATCCTGTCAGGCCTGGTGGGAAGGCTCAGTGGATAGGTAGTTGTCATATCATCGTTGTCAGGCCCAGTGGATAGGTAGTTATCATATAATCCTGTCAGGCCCAGTGGGGAGGCTCAGTGGACAGGTAGTTATCATATAATCCTGTCAGGCCCAGTGAGGAGGCTCAGTGGATGAGTTCTTGTCATATAATCCTGTCAGGCAGCCCAGCTGGAAGGCTCAGTGGATAGGTAGTTGTCATATAACCCTGTTAGGCCCGGTGAAATGGCTCAGTGGATAGGTAGTTGTCATATAATCCTGTCAGGCCCAATGGAATAGCTAGTGGATGAGTTGTCATATAATCCTGTCAGGCCCAGCAGGAAGGCTCAGTGGATAGGTAGTTGTCATATATTCCTGTCAGGCCCAGTGGGAAGGCTCAATGGATAGGTTTTTGTCATATAATCCTGTCAGGCCCAGCAGGAAGGCTCAGTGGATAGGTAGTTATCATATATTCCTGTCAGGCCCAGTGGGAAGGCTCAGTGGATAGGTTTTTGTCATATAATCCTGTCAGGCAGCCCAGCCGGAAGGCTCAGTAGATAGGTAGTTGTCATATATTCCTGTCAGGCCCAGTGGGAAGGCTCAATGGATAGGTTTTTGTCATATAATCCTGTCAGGCCCAGCAGGAAGGCTGAATGGATAGGTAATTGTCATATAATCCTGTCAGGCCCAGCAGGAAGGCTGAATGGATAGGTAATTGTCATATAATCCTGTCAGGCCTGGTGGGAAGGCTCAGTGGATAGGTAGTTATCATATAATCCTGTCAGGCCCAGTGGGAAGGCTCAATGGATAGGTACCTGTCATATAACCCTAACAACTGCATCCCACATAAAGAAAGACAGAATTGGTTCTACAAAGCTGTCCTCTGACTTCCACACGTGTGCTATAGAGATGCATGCTACACATGCATCTCTCTCCCTCTCTCCTCACATGCATCACATGCCATACATGCATCTCTCTCTCCCTCTCTGTCTCTCTCTCACACACATGCCACACATGCATCTCTCTCTCTCCACACATGCATCTCTCTCTCTCTCTCCACACATGCATCTCTCTCTCCCTCTCTGTCTCTCACACACATGCATCTGCCACACATGCATCTCTCTCTCACACACACATGCCACACATGCATCTCTCTCCCTCTCTCCACACATGCATCTCTCTCTCCCTCTCTCTCTCTGTCTCTCTCTCTGTCTCTCTCTCTCACACACATGCATCTGCCACACATGCATCTCTCTCCCTCTCTCCCTCTCTGTCTGTCTCTCTCTCACACACATGCCACACATGCATCTCTCTCTCCCTCTCTCTCTCTGTCTCTCTCTCTTCGTGCACACACACTCTAATAATGAATAAAGTATAAAGCCAATTATCCAATATAAAATAAATAATGGAAATTTTAAAGCATGCATGTTAAGTTCCATGATAATGGTTTCCTCGATGGCTGCTGAGCGAGTGGGGGTTTAATAAAAACAAGACTATTTGCACAGATGTGAAGTATTACCTCATTACTACCACCAGATTAACTGGAAGAAAATAGCAGCTTCCCGTTAAAAAGCCACTGCTTCTCTGAATTACTCTGAAAGCCTAGCATCCTTTCCTCCCGCCTCTACTCTACACACGCCTTCCCCACCACCGCCTAGCACCCTCTCCTCCCGCCTCTACTCTACACACGCCTTCCCCACCACCGCCTAGCACCCTCTCCTCCTGCCTCTACTCTACACACGCCTTCCCCACCACTGCGGGTGTCTTCTTCCATCATTTTCTATTCTCTGGAATAGTTTATGAAGCATCCATACTGGCTCTTCTTTAAAGGTCTGGTAGAGTTCAGCGGCAAAAACTTGTAGGCTGGAACTGCTAATGATATTTTTATTAATTTCTTGAGAATTTCATACAGTGTATTTTGATCATATTCACATCCCCACATATCTCCAAAATTTCTCCCAGATCTACCTCCAAGTCCCCAATCCCAGCCAATTTTCTGTCCTGTTTTTTTAATAACCCAGCTTGTGCTTCGCATTTATTCATTGGTGTGGGCCACCCACGGATAGTCAACCTATCAAGGGCCATTTTCTTAAAAAAAAAAAATGGCTTTTCTTCCCCAGGAAACCATCAGCTATCCATAGCTTCTCTCCAGTCCATGCTAGGATGTTGACTTCACCGTAAGGCAGCAAGTGCAGCTGCTGTGTGCTCCGGAGTGTAGCAGCCCTGTAGCACCAGGAAACACCGTTTCACTCGTCCTCCCCAACATCTGGCTCTTATGAACCAGATGAATGTCTCAGCAAGGTTGTTCTGCTCAGTCCCCTGAGGGACATCCCAGCCAGATTTTCTTTCTAGTCCGCACTGGCGAATGATGATCTTCACTCAAGACTCTTTTGAGAAAGTGTTTTATTTGGAAAGGAGGAGTCCAGAAGAGGGGCGGCCTCTGCCAGGGTGGTAAAGGACTGCCCACAACTGAACAGGCAGAGGGGCTTATACAAGGCTTCTTAGGGGCAGAGTTTTCCCAAGGAGAAGTTTTTCTGCTCCAGGATTGGTTAGTTTTCCCTGCTCAGGGACTGGTTAGTTTAGTTGGCCAGGGGCAGAGATGGCTCTGATTTTTAGGGACAAATTATGTTTCTTTCATGGTCCTTTTTAGCCTGTTGGCTCTAATTCCAGGGCTAGGGCACATTTCTTTCACTGACTCTGATTACAGGGACAAAGTGTGTTTCTTTGGCACTGGTTTCAGGGTTAGGGCATATTTCTTTGGTTCTGAGTTTAGGGATAAAGTGTTTCTTTCACTGGCTCAGGTCTTAGATCCAGGGTGTGTTTCTTTCACTGGTTCTGAGTTCAGAGCCAGAGTGAGTTTTTTGGCTGCTCCCTTTACCCTACATTAGCTCCTACTACGATGAAGGTTAGTCAACAGGGGATAAGTTTCTTGGTCAGAATCAATGTTATATCTTCATGTCTTATGACCAAAGCGTGTAGTCTCTTCAGCAACAGGCCTTACCAAAACTTGGGCTTTAATTAAACTGAAAATGTTTTTGCTTAATTGAGGTTTCTCTGTGTTTGTTTTGCTTTTAGCTGCTGCTTGAATCTCACTGTTTGTTCTCTACAAGCTGTTGATTTTATCCTTTTAATTTGTTTAGCTTATATGCATCTAGAATTCATTCACTGCTTTCATATGTTTCAATATCATAGACTGTAAGAGCTCTAAAGTATGTTACAATAATTTACTGAATTTCATAGGTGTCTATTAAATGCCTCCCTTTCATCTCTTACTTCATTCATTTTGGTCTTTGCTCTCTTTCTTTCGGCTAGTTTGGCTAACAGTTAATTGGTCTTGTCCACTTTTGCAAAGAACTCTTCGTTTCATTAATTCATTGTGTTTTTAAATTTCCATCCCATTAATTTCTGCATTGATCCTAACTATTTATTTCAATCTACTGAGTTTTGATTTGGCTTGTTCTTATTCTTCCAAGGCCCTAGAGGAAATTAAGTTAACTTTTTGAGATCAGACTCTTTTCTATTTTATTTATTTATTTACACACACACACCCTTGTGTGTGTGTTCACATACCATACCATGAGTACTACCTGTATTCCACAGGTAGTGGGAGCCAGTTCTCACCCTCCAACACATGGGAGATTGACCTCAGGCTCTCAGGTTTGATAGTACTTCATTTTTCCCACTAAAACGTCTCACTGGCCCTTCTCTGACTTTAATATATGCACTTACAGCTTTAAAATTCCTTTGCATGACTGCTTTAAAGTATCTCCTAGCCACATTAATTAAAATCTGAGTATGCTATGCTATTAGGCATTGTATGATAGTAATAGCAAACACCTGCGGTTGCTCTCCCATTAATATCCCACTCATAAAAATATGGAGAGCTCCTGGGCTGAGGAATTATTTTCTACACTACACATTCACCTCTACGACATCCAAGAAGAATAGAGCTGAAAAAAAAATCAAAATAACACCAAACACATAAATCCCGATGCAGTAACATAAGATGCACACACACATACACAGGATAAGATAATGCCTCCGAGAAGTATGAATCTTACAGTAATGGCATATGGTGTGAGTAAAATAAGTGTTGGCAGAGTCTTGAGAAAATGAACACTTCTGTACTGTTGGTAGGAATGCTATTTGGCTCAACCATTATGGAAAACAATATGGTGTTTCTCCAAAGAATTAAAATCAAAACTAGCACCTTTAATCCCAGCACTTGGGAGGCAGAGGCAGGCGGATCTCTGTGAGTTCGAGACCAGCCTGGTTCCAGGACAGGCTCCAAAACCACAGAGAAACCTTGTCTCGAAAAACCACAAAAAAAAAAAATCAGAACTAGCATATGCTCTAGAAATCCTTCTGCTTGGTATACACACCCAAGGGAAATGAAGTCAGTATCTGAGAGAAACATCTACTATCCCCATGTTCACTGTCAAGTTACTCACAAT